TTTACTGGTTTGCCTACCCCTATCACTTTGTAGAAAAAAAGAATTTATTTCTTCTTCATTCCTGCTCTCATTTAAATGTTTTGCTTCGGCGAGGTTCAGTTTCAGCTTCTCTCTATCTTCTTTTGAAAGATCTCGTCTTAACGACCACCCTTTCCCATCCTCATCACTTTGCAATTTTCTAGCATTCCTTAGTACTTCTTCCATCTGTTTGGCACCGTTAAGGGTGATCCTCAAAGGTCAATCTTTCCCTTTTACGTACCTGCCTATTCTCCTGTAGTCGCACACATTCTCTATGGTTGTAAGACCTTCCACGAGGCCAACAATTTTATCTACTACTTTAGCTTCTTCTACAGCTCTTTCTGACCTAGATGTTATCGCCTTTTCTTTGCAGCCAAAAATGATCAGGGACTTACTCCGATCAACTGTGTTTTGCACCAACTTCGGGTTAGATGCCAATTCTTTTCTCACTTCCAGCCTAATGTTTGTTTTATCTTGGTTGCTGCAGTGTTTGACTTCCTTTACTGCTTCTTCTATTTTTTCCTTCTCCTTGGCCACTTGTGCTTAAGTTAGTTGCATATCTTTCTTGCACTGTTCTATTCCCTGTGTAACTTCCTCCATCTGTGCTGACAAAAGCTTTTTCTCCTGTTGAATTTCCTTGCCTAACCTATTGTAGTCATTTATGTTTAAATTTACTTTAACTTCTTCCAAAGCTATTTTTAAGAGTATATTTTCTTCTTCCATGGCTTTGCAATTTGTTTCCAATTGATTCTTATCCTTGCGCAAGTCTTTCACTGAACCCTCAAGACATAAAACTTTGCTATTCAAATGGTCATTACTTTCTTTCAATTTACTAATTATTTCTACATGAGAGTTCACTATAGTATCTAAATTTACCAACTTGTTATGTAGACTGCTAATATCAATGCTTTCTTCATTGAATCCCTCAAAATCAAGCTCTGTTTTGTTTTTCCCCTTGCCAGTGGCCATCTTGAATGTTCTTCTCTGCACTGTAAACATTAGGGCAACTTTTTCTCATCCGATTTTTCACTTCCCTTAGCACTCTCCTGTTATCTCACCTATTTTTCAAGAGCACTATACCTTTATGTTCTCTGGGACACCACTCACTACCATCAACCTGTACTACAATACTTAGGATTGTTGAAATATGCTGGAGCTCCTCTGCTGCAAGTGTTGACCCTAGGGGTGTCTTTTTTTTTTTTTTGTGGCCTGCTTGACGTGTTGATACATAAATGTCTCCAGAATGAGGTTTACAGATCTGCCTGTCCAAATTTCCTCTGTTCTTGCTTCGTAGGCCTCTCAGTCTATTGCTTTAAAGCTGAAGTCCCTCAGTAGTAACAAATGTGATTTAACTTTATCTGCTTGTATTTCCCTAAATACAATATTAATTGTATTTGTATAATATTGTATAATATTAATTTTATCTGCCTAAATTTCCCTAAATCTCTCTCATGACCATTATGAGGCCCTCTCGTTTGTCATCCAGTTCCCTAGTTCATGTGTTGCTTGCTGGTGGGCTGTAGGCATTTACAATTATTAGTTTATCCTGATTCCAGACCTGCAATGCCATTATGTCAACTTCGAGGTTTGTCAAGTATTAACTCTTTACCTTCAGGTGTTCTTTCGCCAGCACAGCCACTTCTACCCCCTTTCCTAGTTTTCCTGTCATGTCCCCAAACCAAGTAACCCCTTGGGAATACGACTTCATTTAAAACATTTTCTTCAAGTTTCATGTCTGTTAATGAGACAATATCTGAGACCTTAAACTAAATTATATTTTTTGGCTCCAATATTTTTTATCTCACTCTGTCTATGTTGGTATATACAATTTTCAAGAACATGTTCCCTTTTCCTTGTTCTTTACTACCCTTTCCACTAATGATTTTGTTGCTTTGTTTTTATCTACCATTTCACTAGCTTTCCAGTCCCTAACACTTTGTAATTTTTTTTTTTATTTCTTCTTTATTTCCATTCCTATTTAGAAATTTTGCTATAATGAGGTTCATTTTCAGCTTTCTCCGTCCTCCTCTGAGAGGTTGTCTTACTGACCAAAGTTTGCCATTCTCATCACTCTACAATTTCCTGGCATTTCTAAGCACTTCCGTCATGTGTTTTACTCCATTAAATGTCACCCTTAAGGGTCGGTTCTTTTCTCATATTTTCTTATCCTCCTAAAATCATTGACATTTTCCTTTCATTTTAGGCCATTTCCTAATTCTACTATTTCCTATATGATTTTCATCTCTCCTGCTACTGCTGTCTACCTAAGATGATATTTCCTTTCCTAAACACCTGAAAATTATTATGGTCTTACTGCTATCTGCAGTGTTTTGTACTAGTTTACTGTTGGTTACCAGTTCTTTCCTAATTACTGTACTTGTCTAATTTCTGCATACTGCCCGAGACGCTTTGCTTAACAGTGGCTTTAGGCATTGTATGTACTAGCTCTATCTATAAATTCATCAATATTTCTATCACCCCTTGTTATGTATGTACTTTATCTAAATTTGAATTTGAATTTGAATATTCTTTGTCATTTCTGGTTTTGACTTCCTAACACTTTATCCTCTATTTCTCATTGATAACTTGCGCATACGTCTCATATTTCTTCTTAATACTTTTCTAGTTGTTTATTACTCTCCTCTATGTGGGTTGTCAAGTAAGTTTGTCCTGACATATCCTTACCTAACTCCCTGTGAGTAACCTCAGGTTCCTTAGAGTTGTTTACTGTAATAAGTAAGTAAATGTTTATTCAGGTAAGGTACATACCTTGAGGTTACCTTGAGGTTACCTTGAGGTGCTTCCGGGGCTTAGCGTCCCCGCGGCCCGGTCGTCGACCAGGCCTCCTGGTTGCTGGACTGATCAACCAGGCTGTTGGACGCGGCTGCTCGCAGCCTGACGTATGATACATACAAGTATGATACGTACATACATACAAGAGATTTTACAAAAACTGATAGATTTATAGATAAAGAGCTAGTACATACAATGCCTAAAGCCACTATTACGCAAAGCGTTTCGGGCAGACTTTACCCTGTATGAGTCTATTTTCTTGTTTAATTCTTCAAAGTCATCACTCCTCACTTTCCATACCTCATTTTCATTCACTAGTTCCTCGATTTGTTCCTCCTGAGCCTTTACCCTGGCCATTAATTTAGTAATTTTCTTACCTTTCTGTAGAAAACGTCCTTTTTAAAGGGTGAAACCCTTTAAAAACTCACTCACTGAGAGCTTTAAAAATTTAAAAACTCACTCACTGAGAACTTTAAAACTCACACCTGAGAGCTCCATTTTCTCCTAATTTAACTTTTTCTTTCACACTTCTTTAGCATAACATCAATTATCTCTAACCTACCTAGAAAACCACCTTCCTGTAGTTGTTTCTGAGTAAATCCTACGAAGTTTGCCTCATCTGGTGTCTCTACTGTCCCGTCCACTCCTGCCCTGGCCGCCATCTTTGTTTTGATGCTCGGCTCTGGGTCAGAGACCCTTGGCATAAATAAGAAATGTATATGTTTATCTCTCAGAATGTTTGGCAATATGTTTATCTCTCAGAATGTTTGACAATATGTTTATCTCTCAGAATGTTTGTTAATATGTTTATCTCTCAGAATGTTTGGTAATATGTTTATTGTTTGTGATGTGTGTCTATGTATGTATTAACACGATGTACTGAACGGGGTGAGAATAGCTTGAGCTATCTTCTCCCTTTGTGTGTATTTTACCTCAATAAACTTATTTCAATTGGCATAAATATTTTGTCCAGATTTATATTTATTTTTTCACTACAATTGCCACTATCCACCTGTGTGTTGGAGGGGTAGAAATAGCCTAAGCTACTCTATCCCTTTGAGATGTATTTTCTTGTCTCAATAAACATACCTGAACTGTGTGTGTACTCACCTAGTTGTGCTGGTGGGAAAAAAGGGGGGGGGGGTTGAGCACTGGCTCTTTGCTTTACTCTGTCAATCAAGTGATGTATAGATTCCTGAGCCTACTTGGCTCTATCATATCTACATTTGAAACTGTGTATGGAGTCAGCCTCCACCACATAACTGCCTAATGCATTCCATTTATTAACTACTCTGACACTGCAAAAAGTTCTTTCTAACATCCCTGTGGCTCATTTGGGTACTCAGTTTCCACCTGTGTTTCCTTGTTCGTATACCCCCTGTGTTAAACAGTTTATCCTTATCTACCATGTCAATTCCTCTGAGAATTTTGTAGGTAGTGATCATGTTTCCCCTTACTCTTCTGTCTTCCAGTGTCGTGAGGTGCATTTCACACAGTCTTTCCTCATAATTTCTCTTAGTTCGGGGACTAGCCTAGTGGCATACTTCTGAACTTTTTCCAGCTTGGTCTTGTGCTTGACAAGGTACGGGCTCCATGCTGGGGCCGCATACTCCAGGATTGGTGTTACATATGTGGTATACAACATTCTGAATGATTCCTTACACAGGTTCCTGAATGCTGTTCTGATGTTAGCCATCCTTGTATATGCTGCAGATGTTATTCTTTTCATGTGGGAGACATAAGGTGTGATATCAACTAGATCTTTCTCTGTCCATTTCATAAAATACAGTACTTCATCTCCCATTCTGTATCCTATGTCTGGCCTCCTGTTTCCACTGCCTAGCTTCATTACCTTGCATTTACTCAGGTTGAACTTTAGTAGCCATTTGTTGGACCATTCATTCAGTTTGTCTAGGTCCTCTTGTGGCCTCATACTATCTACTTGTCTTAATCCTTGTCATAATTTTTGCATCAACAGCAAACAATGAGGGGAACGATTCTATACCCTCAGGGAGATCATTTACATTTATCAGAAACAGTACAGGTCCAAGGACTGACCCTTGTGGGACTCCATTGGTGACGCCTCACCAATCTGAGACCTCACGCCCTCACAATGACTCGCTGTCTTCTGTTGCTTAGGTACTCCCTTATCCAATGGAGTACGTGTGTTGTGTGATGTGTGATGTATGTTGGCACCATAAATAACACTCAAAACACTAGAGATAAAAGACATAAAGCAGTAACATAATATATAGACACTGTTGTTTGATCAACCCCACTTCCATCACGCTGGGGAAGAGACTCCCTTTTAATCTCATTCTCTTCTTGTGGAAGCCATGGTACACTTGCAGCTGGTGTTGCTGATGTCTCATCTGTATTGGGAAGCATTTTTTACTTTTAATATGTTACACATTTTCTTAATTATAGCATATAACTTAAGCATTACAAATAGCAACAAGTGTACTGTACACTTGAAGGGCATAACAACAATGTGTCTCAGATTAAAAGCTATTAAATACTGCAATTATCAGCAACACAAGATTTAAATTATTAAAATTACATAGTGTCATGATAATTCTTGATAAATTACACAAAGTGATTTTATTTGTTGGAGTATTTGAAATAGACAGTTTGGTGGTGGTGTATATGTATATACACACATAAAATAGATGTATTCATTCAAAAAATAAGACAAAATTATATTGTTAGTCTTTAAGAATGCAACTACAATGCCTAACCAGTACAGAGAGATATTTTATTCTCTCAAAGTTGTCTTCACATTGCTTAAAAAAAAAAACTGAACCAAATCTCTTACCTTGTTCCTTTTCTGCCTTCCTTGGTTTGATAGTGGTTGGCGAGACAGTAGGCTTGACTGCTGGATGGAGCACCTCAATGTCCTTGTGGCTACTAGTACACTCCTTTTGCTTGTGTTGGAGTGGTATAAAATCAGGATACTTGGTTTTTCTTGGCAGCTGAAGAATACCACACCAAGATATAGTTTTACTTTAATATTTGTAAACAAAATGCTTTCAATCTTCCTACAATAAGTGAGGCAAAACAAAAGTAACTGGACACCCGGAAAAGATCATGAATGGGGAAAAGTGCTCTTAAGGGATGTTAAAAATGATTGCAAGATATTACCATCCTAATCTTCATTTATATAAAAGAAGCATTAAATGTGACACATGTATTAATAATTTGGCCAGTTGAAATAAGCTAGTTGAGAAATGCATGTACAGTCATGCTATTAATCAGAGAATTATTAAATAGAGAATAGAGTAGAAAATGCATGTTGAGAGATGCATTACAATGGTTTTCAATATGATGACTGGAGAGTGTGAGGAAAGAATTTATACAAAAATGCAAAGGATTTGAATAATGAGTAGATAATTAACGTCCTAGAAATGAGGGTGAAGATGAACTCGGAGGAAAGGTGGCATAAGAACACAAGAAGAACAGAACAGGCTAGAGAAGTATGCTTGATAGGATTATCTGCAAGATGTTTTCTTGAGAGCAGCCCTTAAAAAGAACTAAATAAATAAGATTGCTACAGACAAAAAGACATTTTATTTTAAAACATGGTGGTATGTAACTTTTTTTTCTTATATTTAAACTATAGAGAACTATTTGAGGTCACAAACATTGCCACTCTTTAATAACAACCTACAGCTAAATGGAAGGCTTTGTCTATACTGTACTATATTTGAATGCTTCTACAAACAAAATAACATTTTGAATGTAATACAATTCATATGCATTACTGCAAACAGTTATTAAAATGTGTAAAAACCATCATACCTTCAGCAATTATGAATTACAATAACTTTAGCTGCTATGTGAAAAAGACATTGTAAAATAGAACAAGTAATACACATAACTTTAATTTACATGTTGAAACTGACAAGTATCTGAACATCAATCTAAATGTGGTTGATAATGTTGAAATTGCCAAGAAACATCTGAAGTGTATCATATGGAAAGAGCATGTGGAAGAACTTACACTTTTACACTTAACTAGAATACTGACCCCTTGAACGAGCTCTCGGCCATGGCCTTCACAGGAGGGTTCATGTTGTCCGTACATGGTCATTTCCTGCAACGTAGATATTAACTGCTTGTTCTGCCATGTTGTTTTGTCATAAAGGATATCATAGAATGATCTGTTGAAGAATTCTGGAAAATATTTTTAAAGTATTTAGATAAGTATAAATATCTCTTTACATATATTTTTTTTGTTTAGCTCTATCATATTAAAGATAATTAATTTTAAATACTGTACAGCATAAAAATCTATAATAAAATATTTAGTAGACAAAAAATTTATGTAAATAAATGGTGATCACTTTCAGCGATTAAATACACTTGCTGTGTTTAAGTACCAAATACAGTATCCCAATGTTTAAGGAACTTTTATATACCACAATGCCGATCTTAATGGCCAATATTGAGATTGGCAATAGGAGCCTTATTGACCGAGCAATTGGTTGTTAAATCTGGAATATGGTATCTAGTTTACAGAGTCTGGTGCTCGTTGAACCGGAGACCACTATTGGGTATGTTGTGACAATTTAACCCTAGCTAGGCCAATATTTTCATCAGCATGAGTGACAGATAGTACCATTATTTTCCCAATGCATGTGTGCTTGTGTAATTACCTAAATGTAGTTACAGGACGAGAGCTACGCTTGTGGTGTCCCGTCTTCCTAGCACTCCGTCACATAATGCTTTAAGACTATCGAAGGTTTTGGCCTCCACCACCTTCTCACTTAGCTTGTTCTAACCGTCTACCACTGTTTGCAAAAGAAAACTAATACTTTATTTGGTACCTTTGTTTCCTTAGCTTAGGTTACAAGAATTCCTCTTTGTCAAATTGGTCAATTCCTGTAATTATTTTGCAAGTGGTGATCCTATCCTCTCTCTCTTGTCTTCTAGCTTTGGCATATTTAACACCTCTCTTCATAACTCTTGTTTTACAGTTCTGGAAGCCTGTAATTATTGTTGCACGTCTTTGCACCTTTTCCAGTTTGCTGATGTGCTTCTTGAAATATGCACACCATACAACAGCTGCACATTCTATCTTTGGTTTTACAATACAGTAGTCTTGAACAGTTTCTTTAGTATTTCATCATCATTGTATTTTAAAGTAATTCTGAAACTGGAAAGTGTAGCATAGGTTCCTTGCACAATGTTCTTTACGTGGTCCTCAGGTGAGTTTTCTATTTAGAACCACCCCTAGATCTCTTTACCAGAATTTTTTAAAGCTGTTTCCACATAATTTGTAGGTCATGTGGTCTATATTCTCCTATTCCACATTCCATAACATGACATTTATTCACATTAAATTCCATTTGCTATGCACTTAAGTTATTCAGGTCATCTTGAAGGGCATAACAATGGTCTAAGTTTATCTTCCTTAGTATCTTAACATCATTAGCAAACATGTTCATATAATGTATTCCTTCTGGTAGGCCATTTATGTCAACAATGAACATTAGCTGTGAAAGAATTAAACCCTGTGGTACCCCACCTATGATATTTCTCCAGTTCAATGCATTGCTTCTGATTACTGCTCTCGTTTTCTGTCGGTTAGAACATTTTTCATCCATTTTAGAAGCCTCCCTATCATTCTTCCAGCAAGTTCCAGTTTCCAGAACAAGCTCTTATGTGGGACTACCGAATGCCTTTTTAGTTCCAGATAAATGTGGTCAATCCAACCATCTCTTTCCTGTAAAATCTCTGTGGCTCTATCATAGAAACTAAGCAGACTTGTTATACAGAATCTTCCTGATCGAAAACTATACTGTCTGATATGTCATTTCTCTCCAGGTGTTCTACCTATTTGGTTTTTATTATTTTTTCCATTTTGACAGCTATGCTTGTCACCGATACTGGTCTATAATTAAGAGGGTTTTCTTTACTACTATTTTTGTCTATTTGAACTATGTTAGCCTTTTTTTATACGTTTAAGATTCCTGTAACTGCTTCGTCTCAAGACGAATTAGCAAAAATTTGAATAACCATTTATTCAGACAAATAACCATTTCTGTCCAACCTGGAGACTGAACCCTGGATCCTTAATTGTTATTCGAGAATGTAGACCAATGTACTACAGGACCCTTGAGTATCTATAGATTCAGGTATGTTACGTGTACTGCCATTTGAATGAAAATGGTCAAATGATAAAATAACAAAAAATATTTCATACCAGTTCAGAAAGAAAAATGGATATGATGCTCAATATGATCAGTTCTACTGTCATTTTGAGTAATTTGTTTAAAATATACTGTACATATTTTACATTTAAAAGACTTACTTTCAGGAGCTTTAGCAATAACGTAGCGATATATATCAGCCAAATGAATATTTTGTGGATCATTTGTATTTTCAGTCTGCATATCGGACAGCCTCTCGTCTTCTTCTTCTTCGTTAATATAATTCTCACTATAGAAAAAACGAGTAAAAAAAAAAACATGAAACATAAAATTGTATAATTAAATACTTTAAAATTATTAAACGTAAATTGTATCATTAAATACCTTAAGATTATATTCATCTTTAATACAAAATACAGTTTCCACCTTCACAGCTTTCCAGACAGGCAAGAATACAAGAATACAGGCAAGAATCTTGTACAAACAGGCAAGAATACACACAAACCATATCTACCATTTTGGCAGGAAGAGGTGGTGACAGGAGGGGTGGGGTGGTGACGGAGGAGGGGTGGTTACGGTGGGATGAGGGGGGGGGGAGATGAGGGAGTTGCTACACTATAAAATAAAGTTCAATTATGGCAAGGGTTGATCAATTTATTGATTATGCATCTACTGACAACTAACAAAACCTAAGCATCCTACAGGCCAAGCATCTGCATATGGATAGGTGATATTTAAGATTTAGATGCTTAATCTAATATCTAGATTTTAATGGCACAATTGTACATTATAGTATTAAAGTTTGTTCAAATCTGTAAAGTACCTCATTACTGTACTCTGAAGCCTTCTAGTCAAACAGTGATCAAGAAATATACTATATATTCTTTGGCCTTAAAACTTTGAGTAACTCAGATCAGAATTAATAAGCATACAGTGTAACTCTTCAAAACTGGCTAGAGTTAGCAGCAACATTATATAGTACAGTATTGCAGTAACAAGGTGGAAACGATAGCCTGTTCTGTTAGCTTAATGTCTAATTTGAATCAATCACATTAATCAATTAATTTTAGCAATCATAAGTATACACACAGTACTTAGACCAACCCACTTAACCTGTTCAAGAAATGTTGCATCTGAAGTGCTTAAATTTCACAAAACGTGCATAAATTTTAATGCTTGTGTCCAGTGTGTTGAAAATAAGGCATAGTAAGGGGCAGACTACAACACTTTTTTGGATCATTGGGGGGATTGAATTTGGACCTATAACACATTATGGTTGAAATGAATGAGGACCAAACCTCACAAGGGTGGTAGACTAGTCAAATCCATGTGGACGTGTTATGCCTATGCTGTATAAAGAGTGATAATAAATACTGAATTTATGCAGTAACCAGATAAACTATTAACAATTACTGTAGTTCAAACTGTGTAGGGAAATAAGTCAGTAGATGACCATGTGACGGAGTCATGCCCTTCACATGCATTCCTGTCTGCCAGCTGATCTCTTGAACACACAACCATTTGTTCATTTGACTAGAAATTTCTGACAATACTATATCAAACAAATACAGTACTGTATACTAAATCTGGTTACAGATATTTACCTGAAGCCATTATGATCAAACATCTTCCTAAAAAACACAAGAAAAACAGTAAGAATTAAATACTGTATTCCACATAGAATAATGTACTACAATTCACAATTAAAATGCAATATTTACCATAGTCCCATTAGGTCAAGTTGGACAAGAAATATTAATTTATTATAACAATAAATGTTTAAATAATAATAAATAACAGCCAATAAATATTGATAATTTACTTATTTAACTAGCTAATGTTTTCATAAATGCTTGTAAGACATACTTACAGATCATTGTTAACCAAGTCGTGGATACCGAAGGTGTCGAACACAAGCGCCATGTCAGGTCTAGAGTAGCAACCAGAGAGGTTCACCCTGGGATAATATGTCAAGAATGCTAAGCACATCTCCTCTTCCGTACTAAAGCCACCCTAGATTGAGTTAAACAAGGAAACACAAAGGTTATGCTCTGGCATTCACAAGTGGGCAGGTTTTGGATGTTATTAATTACAATATAATTAATGGTTTTGCCATTATTATTACAATTGATATTTTAATCAATAATCCAGAATTTCCCCAAAAATAATACTGCACGAGCTTTGTTATATGAAGCCCGCTGAACCAAATACAGTATATGGATTTTCTGCCAAGCTTTGCCATATCTTGACAGAAATCCAGATAACCAGAGGTTTGGGTGGATAACAGAGACTGGAACAAAGTTTAAAGTCAAATCCTGATAATTTTATGGCAAAACTTCATATCTGGACAAAAATCTGGATAACTAGAGATTAGGTTACATAAATGTTCCAGAACTACAGATTTCAAGATCAAATAAGAAGACAAACTACAACATGGTAAGCTGAATTTTCTCAAATTATATTTGTTTATTAATAGCGAGTGTGGAAATTCAAACTGTTCGTTGTGGTACAAAAAAATTCTGAATATGGTAATTTTTAAATTCCCCTGTAAGAATTCTGCTTATTTGGATGTCTGGCTTCTCTGGTAGGGGTCCTTCCCATATAGAGCTTAGTATTCAGAAAATGTTTAATTATATTTTCAGGAAGAATATATGAAGTGTGTAATTTCAGCTACATTACTGGCATAAAATACAAATTTTAATAAAACTATTGTGGAATAAAATTAATATTAGTTAATACTAAACTGTCACTGTGATACAAAGTACAGTACTATACTTACAAATGTTGGTAATTTCCTCTTGGTGGAATCATATCCACATTTTATAATCAAGGAATCTCCTGGCAGTATTTCCATCTCCTTTTTTAAAACTCGAGCTTGCTGGTAGTTGAAGTCATAATTCATATCTAAGGAAGATGTGCAAAATATGAGACAGCAATTGGCAAGAGCCATGTGATAGCAGCTGCATGTCATGCCAATGTCATTCTAGACTAGTTTAAGCCAACGTTATAAGGTTCCATGACAAATTGATATATAGGCATTCATGTGGGTTGGGTCATTTATTTATTATAAGTTATCTCCAGTGAACCACTTGCACATTATATGGTGTTGCCGAGATGCTTGAAAATTCTGTGGTGTCAGAAAGCTGCCTGACCTGATTTGTTTCATGATCCTGGTCAATAGACACAGTTAATATTTCCTTTGGGGGGGCAGCTGAATGTTATAGCCGAGAATAAAAAGTTTCATTTTGGGCCTCTGGATGGTATGAAACCCACAGATGCTTTAGTAAGTATTTGTAATACAGTAGTTCCCCTAAAACATATGATTACCATTCTTATACAAGAATTACAATTCTATATACAATTTATGAAACGTAATGTAACCAGTGTAAAATTTGTAAATAAAAAATTGGCATTAAATATACAACTGTCAGTGAAACTAATAGAAGCACTTGGAATAATGATTATTTTATTCTGATGAAAATATAAATGCAGTACAGTATGTCTAAAGAAAAATGTTTTGCAATTTGTCTATAAAAAAAATGTTGATTTACTGCTTGAAAATTACACTTTCCAAAATGGTGAATTCTTGTGTTAATACAGAACATGATGAATTAAATAATATTCTTTTATCATCAGAGTTACAATATGCAGCATTTTGCATCATTAAGTGACATTTCCACTAAAATATGGAGAGCATGAACGTGGCAGGAACATGAGGACCTACTTAGTGTATAGAGAGTTAAATACTATACTGTAATAATATTACCGATATTCATGTCAACAAAACGTAAATGTGACTTGCCCTTAATGACAGTCGGCAGCTCACGTCCACTTCGTATTTGCTGTATCGAGATGGATGAACCAAGAAGATGTGCATGAAGAAATCCTTGGAATACTTTTATTCCAGAATGTGGTAATGTCTGGAATACATTAACACTCAGATTTATTACAAGAGCAATATAAATAGTGTCATCTTTAGAATCATAGTATTTGTTCACCAAAACTATATTAATATATATATGTACGTACTTTTCTTTAGATTAACCAAGAATTTTTGGTCATAAAACTCTAGTACTGTATTACAATAATACAATACTGTACTTGAAGCGTGCCTTTACTAATAAACGTAATAATAAATAGGCGACTAAGTGTACACTGCACATACCCTTTCTGTACATGCTGCAGTACAGTGGGCAACAGTGTTCCAACTCTGCCCAGGTGGAATAATGTGTGTTGGTGATACTGTATGTCCCAGGGTTAAGATTCCAGCATCATACTGACGTAATTTCTGAGTATACATAATGCGCACCCCAGAACTGTCCACAATACCTGAAAAATTACAGGAGAAAATTTATCCCAAATTGACAGCTAGTTAAACATTAGGACGCGTTTGTAGCATTTTGGTTTGTGGTATTGTGGTTTGTGGCTGCATGGAAATACAAAATCTTTAAAAAAGCAATCATATTGATAAGGCCCAATGTCAATCATATTGATAAGGCAATGCCAAGCCGCATACTATACCACCAAAGACTTGTGAAAGTCATATTTCTACTGAAATCACAGGGAGTCTGGAGGCATGCTACTAAAGCCAGTCCAAGTAGAGTATGCGGCTTGGCATTGCTTTGGTCATAGGTTCGCTCACACCTCACTGCCGTAGTGGATTTTCTCATTAATATACATCACAGTAATACGATTTTTGTGTGAATCACACATTTGTTAGCATTAAAATCTAAGGCACTGTGCAGAAATTGACAAATTTGGATGGCATGTGCTATGGAATATTTAATCAGTAATACAGTATTAGACAACTTACCTGTCCTAAGGTTAGGGTTATCATAGTGGATTTCTAGCATGAAGTATGTAGCACCTCCGTGTTCCTCTCCCAAGGGAACACCCACATGTTCTGGGTACATTTCCCCTACAAGATAATAAAATTATATATTGTATGCAGAAAATAAGTTACAGTAACATGGCTAAACCAAATAATCAAATCCACAAATATGAAATGAATGTGACATTTCAGTCCATCCTGGACTCTTATCAAGTTATGGCTCGACAAGGGCCCAGAAAGGACCAAAATGTCAACACTTTCATTTCACATGTGTAAGATGGGTTTTAATACACACTATAGTTGCCGTAAGATTATGAGACTGCAGAAGGTACATCACAATGTGAGGCAGCTCTTAGTTAATACCAGCAAACTTATCTATAAATCTCAAACCCTACTTTCTGATCAGTATTTTCCCAAACGTTTCTAAAATCTAAACTTGTCCAACTGTAAAAACTGTTTCGTGTTGACGTTTTTAATACCCTGCTAAATCTCTCTCTATTCATTTGCATATCATTAATCATACTCATGACAAATAATCATACAACAACTTCAGATAAAAGGGACATTGAAATAATTTTAGGTATTTTTAAAGCAAATCATAAAATATATTCTATTACTGAATATGGTCAGACAGGAAGTTTGCTTATTCCCTTGGCTCTTTACAACAACAACAACAAAAAAAATGGAAAAGACAAAGGAATCCTTAAAGAATTAGAAACAGACACCCTAATGGTAACAGCGATCAAGGTACAGTGTACAGTACAACTTGAAGATACCATATTCTATAACAAACCCACACTAGATATAGTACACTGTACTAGTACTGTACAGAATTATAATTACTGTAAAAAGAAATATTTTACCCTCTGATCCAATAGCCCAAGCAATAATTGGAGTGTTGCAGGCTGACCACGAGAGCGGCATGTTTCGATCATAACATTGAGCTCCCTTAGCTTGCACAAACTTTTCCAAGTGTTTATCAGAGTTGGGAAGATAGCATTCGTACAGCAGCATATGGTGCACGTGTTGTAGGTTCTCCTCTTCTATCAGTGGGACATACTGATGAAAAAAAAAAAGATGGGGCATAAGTGCAGGAAAATTATTTATTTAATAGGAGTAACAACTTGCAAATACAAAAAACAGTAGAAAATGATAAAGTTTCAACTTGTATTAAAGTAATAAATTGCTAATCAAATACAGTAATATTCATGAAGGCACTTATGAAAGCGCTCTAGAAAGAGATCAAGCTTCATTATTTAGATATTGACATTGGTAATGTACCCAGAGGGTCACTAATACATATAATTGTCAATGTAGATCAGTGAACTAAGTAACTGTCCTCAACACAATCAATTATTGTAAATTTATGTTTTGTCATAACTAAAGAGCACAGAGTAAAACTTGCAAAGGAGTTTTGGTGGACACTGAGGTCTTCCAAAATTTGGTTGGTGAGTTCATCCCCCGGGCCAGATGAAGTGTTTGCTAGGGTGCTTAAAGAATGCAAAGAGGAGCTTTGTGACCCACTGTCAACCATATTTAATAAATCAATAGAGTCAGGCAGAGTGCCAGAGTTTTGGAAAGTTGCTAATGTGATACCAGTTTTTAAGAAAGGAGATAGATCACTTGCGTCTAACTATCGACCAATTAGCCTAACGTCTATTGTGGGAAAGTTACTCGAATCTATAATAGCAAATAAAATTCGTCTTCATCTTGAAAAACATAAATTAATAATTGAGTCGCAACATGGTTTTATAAATGGCCGTTCATGTTTAACAAATTTGTTATCTTTTTATTCTAGCATTGTTGAGGCAGTTGATAGTGGTAAGGATTGCGATGTTGTATACCTTGACTTTAGCAAAGCTTTTGATACAGTGCCACATGAAAGACTGATTAAAAAAATAGAGTCTCATGGTATTGGGGGTGCTATATTAAGCTGGATTAGGGCATGGCTATACCAAAGGAAACAGAGAGTTAGTATAAATGGAATCAAGTCAGAGTGGGAAAATGTTGTAAGTGGAGTGCCTCAAGGCTCTGTCCTGGGACCTCTGTTGTTTATAATATATATAAATGATTTAGATTCAGGTTTGAGTAGCAACATTTGCAAATTTGCCGATGATACGAAAATCGGTAGGGAAATTAATTCGGAGGAGGACTCACTATCACTTCAAGTTGATCTAGATAGGGTTTTGAAATGGTCAAAGGATTGGCAGATGCATTTTAATGCTGATAAATGTAAAGTTCTGAGGTTAGGTAATGATGATAGAGTTACAAGATACGAGCTAGATGGTGTTGTGATTGCGAAGTCGGATTGCGAAAGGGATCTGGGAGTTATGATTAGTAAGAATTTAAAACAAAAGGATCAATGCATAAATGTTCGTAATAAGGCAAATCGGACACTTGGATTTATTAATCGCAGCGTTAGTAACAAGACACCTGGTGTGGTTCTCAAGCTATATCTTGCTCTAGTTAGGCCCCATTTAGATTATGCAGTTCAGTTTTGGTCGCCATATTATAGAATGGATATAAATTCACTTGAACGTGTCCAGCGTAGGATGACTAAGTTAATTCCCCAAATTAGAAATCTTTCATATGAAGAAAGATTAACAAAGCTTAAGTTGCATTCACTGGAAAGGCGAAGAGTTAGGGGTGACATGATAGAGGTTTACAAGTGGATGAATGGACATAACCGGGGGGATATTAATAGGGTATTAAAAGTATCAACACAGGACAGAACACGAAACAATGGATATAAATTGGATAAGTTTAGATTTAGGAAAGACTTGGGTAAATACTGGTTCAGTAACAGGGTTGTTGATTTGTGGAACCAATTGCCGCGTAACATTGTGGAGGTGGGGTCCCTCGATTGTTTCAAGCACGGGTTGGACAAGTATATGAGTGGGATTGGGTGGTTATAGAATAGGAGCTGCCTCGTATGGGCCAATAGGCCTTCTGCAGTTACCTTTGTTCTTATGTTCTTATGTTCTTATGTAAAATGGTGCAATTTCATAATACTGTACAGTGGAACCTTGATTCAGCAAACTGAAAGTTGGAACACGCACTTTCCATGCCGGATTTATTCACCCGATTAGATGAATAAGAAGCCTGGGATGTTTGGATTTGCTTAGGATATTGGGACTGAGTTTACACATCGAGGCAACATTACAAGAACGAGTTGGGGCCTTGTAAAAGCTACCAAGCACATTTAAAAACAAATTCTAGTATATGTTAAATGTTTTAAAACATTACTGTTTCCAGCATATCTTTCTGCATTTTTATTCTACAATTCAAACCACTGTCTTATCCCTCTATAGGCTGCAATTTAGCGTTTTCAAAGTTCTCTTGTGTTAACATAAGAACATAAGAACATAAGAACAAAGGTAACTGCAGAAGGCCTATTGGCCCATACGAGGCAGCTCCTATTCTATAACCACCCAATCCCACTCATATATTTGTCCAACCCGTGCTTGAAACAATCGAGGGACCCCACCTCCACAATGTTACGCGGCAATTGGTTCCACAAATCAACAACCCTGTTACTGAACCAGTATTTACCCAAGTCTTTCCTAAATCTAAACTTATCCAATTTATATCCATTGTTTCGTGTTCTGTCCTGTGTTGATACTTTTAATACCCTATTAATATCCCCCCGGTTATGTCCATTCATCCACTTGTAAACCTCTATCATGTCACCCCTAACTCTTCGCCTTTCCAGTGAATGCAACTTAAGCTTTGTTAATCTTTCTTCATATGAAAGATTTCTAATTTGGGGAATTAACTTAGTCATCCTACGCTGGACACGTTCAAGTGAATTTATATCCATTCTATAATATGGCGACCAAAACTGAACTGCATAATCTAAATGGGGCCTAACTAGAGCAAGATATAGCTTGAGAACCACACCAGGTGTCTTGTTACTAACGCTGCGATTAATAAATCCAAGTGTCCGATTTGCCTTATTACGAACATTTATGCATTGATCCTTTTGTTTTAAATTCTTACTAATCATAACTCCCAGATCCCTTTCGCAATCCGACTTCGCAATCACAACACCATCTAGCTCGTATCTTGTAACTCTATCATCATTACCTAACCTCAGAACTTTACATTTATCAGCATTAAACTGCATCTGCCAATCCTTTGACCATTTCAAAACCCTATCTAGATCAACTTGAAGTGATAGTGAGTCCTCCTCCGAATTAATTTCCCTACCGATTTTCGTATCATCGGCAAATTTGCAAATGTTGCTACTCAAACCTGAATCTAAATCATTTATATATATTATAAACAACAGAGGTCCCAGGACAGAGCCTTGAGGCACTCCACTTACAACATTTTCCCACTCTGACTTGATTCCATTTATACTAACTCTCTGTTTCCTTTGGTATAGCCATGCCCTAATCCAGCTTAATATAGCACCCCCAATACCATGAGACTCTATCTTTTTAATCAGTCTTTCATGTGGCACTGTATCAAAAGCTTTGCTAAAGTCAAGGTATACAACATCGCAATCCTTACCACTATCAACTGCCTCAACAATGCTAGAATAAAAAGATAACAAATTTGTTAAACATGAACGGCCATTTATAAAACCATGTTGCGACTCAATTATTAATTTATGTTTTTCAAGATGAAGACGAATTTTATTTGCTATTATAGATTCGAGTAACTTTCCCACAATAGACGTTAGGCTAATTGGTCGATAGTTAGACGCAAGTGATCTATCTCCTTTCTTAAAAACTGGTATCACATTAGCAACTTTCCAAAACTCTGGCACTCTGCCTGACTCTATTGATTTATTAAATATGGTTGACAGTGGGTCACAAAGCTCCTCTTTGCATTCTTTAAGCACCCTGGCAAACACTTCATCCGGCCCTGGGGATTTGTTTGGTTTGAGTTTTACTATTTGTTTAAGAACATCCTCCCTGGTAACTGCTAAACTCGTCAACCTGTCCTCGTCCCCACCCACATAGACTTGTTCGGCTGAAGGCATATTGTAAGTTCCTCTTTAGTAAATACAGATACAAAATATTTATTAAAAATACTACTCATCTCTTCATCACTATCTGTTATTTGACCTGTCTCAGTTTTTAATGGACCTATCCTTTCCCTAGTCTTAGTACGATATAACTGAAAAAACCCTTTAGGATTTGTCTTTGCTTGCCCTGCTATGCAAACTTCATAGTTTCTTTTTGCTTTCCTTATCTCTTTTTTAACATTTCTAACCAGTTGTACGAATTCCTGTTCTAAAGTGACCTCCCCATTTTTAATCCTTTTGTACCAAGCTCTCTTTTTACCTATAAGGTTCTTCAAATTCTTTGTTATCCACTTTGGGTCATTAGTATTCGATCTATTCAATTTGTATGGTATACTACGTTCCTATGCTTTGTTTAGAATATTCTTAAATAAGTTATATATTGAATCCACATCGAAATCCCCATTTAAGTCACCTATCGCTGGGTTCATGTCTCGCTCCAAGACCGGCCCACACCCCATACCCAAGACTTTCCAATCAATTTGACCCAAAAAATTTCTTAGGCTGTTAAAATCAGCTTTTCGAAAATCTGGCACTTTAACAGAATTTTCTCCTACTGGTCTATTCCATTCTATGATAAATCTGATTTCTTTGTGATCACTGCTCCCTAGCTCACTCCCTATTTCGATGTCATTAATTTGCGTTTCCCTGTTAGTTAACACTAAATCTAAAATATTATTTTCCCGTGTTGGTTCCTTAATGTGTTGCGTAAGAAAGCAATCGTCAATTAATTCTAGAAAATCTTCTGCTTCACTATTCCCTGTTTTGTTCAACCAGTTTATTCCGCTAAAATTAAAGTCACCCATGACATAAATACTGTTAGATCTAGATGCTCTAGATATTTCATCCCATAGATGCTTTGCTTCCATTCTGTCTAAATTTGGTGGCCTATATATTACTCCTATTATAATATTATTAGCTTTTTCGTTTAATTCAATCCAAATAGTTTCTGTGTGTGGCTCTGTTTTGATTCCCTCTTTGAGACTACATTTCAAATTGTCCCTAACATATATGGCTACTCCACCTCCTCGTCTAATATATCTATCTGTGTGAAATAGTTTAAATCCATATATTTGATATTCAGCTAATAGTTCTCTATTTTCTACATTCATCCACGTTTCGGTAAGTGCAATAATATCTATTTTTTCTGTGCAGACAAGAGCATTTAATTCGTTAATTTTATTTCTTAGACTTCTACTGTTAGTGTAATATACCCTAAGTGAATTGTTATTTTTTGTTCACTTTATAAAAATGAGTGTAAGTCAGTTTCTCTGATAAATGCTTATTCAATAAACTTGGCTATCATGGATACCGAGCAATGATGGAATATTAAGACATACATATAATGACCCACAGAGACATTAGAAATAATTTTTAAATGTTAGTGTAGTTAACAAATGTAATGCACTAGGCAGTGATGTGGTTGAGGCAGACTCTATATAGTTTCAAATGTAGATATAATAGAAGCCAATAGGTTTAGGAACCTATACACCAATTGACTGACACTTGAGAGGTGGGACCAAGAGCCAAAGCTCAACCCCCAGCAAGCACAGCTAGGTGAATACAGTACTGTAAAACATATACAAGTAGATAGTTCAACTGAAGAGAGCACATACATTGAATGCTGTTTCCAGGTAAGAATATGATACTTTTGAGTGTACTCACGCCTGTAACATGCATCTTGCGAGTGAGATGAGGGATCTTGTAGAGCTTGCACCAGTACAAAGTGTGAAGACCATCTGGCAATTTAACCTGTAACAACAAAATACAGTACATGAAAAATACACGTTTTCAAGTCTTGAAACACGTCTGCTTATTACTGCGGTTGATGTGGATTTTATTATGTGTACTTGCCATTTACGAGAGGACTTTAAAGCATTATGGAAATTTAGAGGTTGTTTGTTTTCTTGATTGTATTAAGAAATGCTTGAGGACGTAAGAAATATAACCATACATGGCAAATGCTAAATAAAGAATATGGAATCATCATTTGCAGCATTCCTCACTAATGGGATTAGCAAAGCATTTACCAACTTAATGTAGAAGAAACATATGGTATAGGAAAGAGATTAAAGTTATTCCTAAGACACACATTCATTAACATTACTTTCCACTGTATGAAGTGCCTCCCAGCTGCTTTTAACAGTAAATACAAAACATATCCCTAGCACTGTCCTCTAATGAGATTGTCGTGGTCTTCGTGTAAAGTGGGGAAGGCCTTAATCTTTGAGATGCGATTTTTTCCGTTTGTGTATGTTCACAAGAGAGAATATTGGGCTGTAGTGTTCTTCCTCCGTGGAATTACACAGAGACCTAGATATGTCCTATAGCCAAATTAGTGTGTAACAAAGATAAAAGTTGAATTAGGTCTAGGTATCTCCAACTCTGCTGTCAAAACCATATTGTTCCAAACACTCATAAGAAGAACATAAGAACATAAGAACAAAGGTAACTGCAGAAGGCCTATTGGCCCATACGAGGCAGCTCCTATTCTATAACCACCCAATCCCACTCATATACTTGTCCAACCCGTGCTTGAAACAATCGAGGGACCCCACCTCCACAATGTTACGCGGCAATTGGTTCCACAAATCAACAACCCTGTTACTGAACCAGTATTTACCCAAGTCTTTCCTAAATCTAAACTTATCCAATTTATATCCATTGTTTCGTGTTCTGTCCTGTGTTGATACTTTTAATACCCTATTAATATCCCCCTGGTTATGTCCATTCATCCACTTGTAAACCTCTATCATGTCACCCCTAACTCTTCGCCTTTCCAGTGAATGCAACTTAAGCTTTGCTAATCTTTCCCCATATGAAAGATTTCCAATTTGGGGAACCAACTTAGTCATCCCACGCTGGACACGTTCAAGTGAATTTATATTTAACTCAGGTCTGATAGGAGAGAAATTACCGACTTCCAACGACCTGAAAGCACTAGTATAAAAAGCTATGATTTGGTCAGATCTGAAACTTATGTTTATGGGCAGCACAAAACGTCCACTAGACTGTGCGACACAGTGGTTGCAAGGATCAGGTTGGGTTACCGTTACTTGTGGCAGGTGGCTACAGGTGACGGATCTCCCAATCCTGAGCACTCCAGGTGCAAACTCTGTGAACAGGAACTGGGGCATGATCTCCCACACTACATCACCGAATGCCAAGTTATTAGACCATTCAGACCCATTGGCATGAGGTACCTGAAGCTTTGTAATTACTTTATTCACTCTCGTGTTCTTGAAGATATCCTCATATTGTACCCAAAATTTGCCAGTGCAGGCTACTGAACATATCACCCTGTATGACTAACCATCCTGCGAAATGGGGACTTTTAGTACCACTGCTACCTTATTCATAAGAACATAAGAACATAAGAACAAAGGTAACTGCAGAAGGCCTATTGGCCCATACGAGGCAGCTCCTATTCTATAACCACCCAATCCCACTCATATACTTGTCCAACCCGTGCTTGAAACAATCGAGGGACCCCACCTCCACAATGTTACGCGGCAATTGGTTCCACAAATCAACAACCCTGTTACTGAACCAGTATTTACCCAAGTCTTTCCTAAATCTAAACTTATCCAATTTATATCCATTGTTTCGTGTTCTGTCCTGTGTTGATACTTTTAATACCCTATTAATATCCCCCCGGTTATGTCCATTCATCCACTTGTAAACCTCTATCATGTCACCCCTAACTCTTCGCCTTTCCAGTGAATGCAACTTAAGCTTTGTTAATCTTTCTTCATATGAAAGATTTCTAATTTGGGGAATTAACTTAGTCATCCTACGCTGGACACGTTCAAGTGAATTTATATCCATTCTATAATATGGCGACCAAAACTGAACTGCATAATCTAAATGGGGCCTAACTAGAGCAAGATATAGCTTGAGAACCACACCAGGTGTCTTGTTACTAACGCTGCGATTAATAAATCCAAGTGTCCGATTTGCCTTATTACGAACATTTATGCATTGATCCTTTTGTTTTAAATTCTTACTAATCATAACTCCCAGATCCCTTTCGCAATCCGACTTCGCAATCACAACACCATCTAGCTCGTATCTTGTAACTCTATCATCATTACCTAACCTCAGAACTTTACATTTATCAGCATTAAACTGCATCTGCCAATCCTTTGACCATTTCAAAACCCTATCTAGATCAACTTGAAGTGATAGTGAGTCCTCCTCCGAATTAATTACCCTACCGATTTTCGTATCATCGGCAAATTTGCAAATGTTGCTACTCAAACCTGAATCTAAATCATTTATATATATTATAAACAACAAAGGTCCCAGGACAGAGCCTTGAGGCACTCCACTTACAACATTTTCCCACTCTGACTTGATTCCATTTACTTGTGTTCATGATATCCGACAAGGTACTTTAGTCTGACAGTTTCTTGGCGTTGGGAAACCTTAGGATAACGGGTAGGTTTATGATTTGACCACACCCAGATTGCGTGAGTACACATGCGTTTGCATGTAATATTGGCATCACCATCAGCCGTGTCTAAGCATATCAAGTTCCGTGCCAGCACGTGGCGATGTATATTAAAACCTGTATGTCGTGTTCATTTTGAACTCATGTTCGACTTTCAGTCTGATAAAAAAAAAAATCCCTGGTTTCTAATATCAACAATTTGCTTATCACTTGTGTAAAGGAGGAAATGTAGATGTTTATCTCTCAGAATGTTTAGTAATATGTTTATTGTTTGTGATGTGTTTATATGTATGTATTAACACGATGTACTAAACGGGGTGAGAATAGCTTGAGCGACCTCATCCCTTTGTGTGTATTTTACCTCAATAAACTTATTTCAATTTCGCTTAGCGGGGCATCCGGTCAGTCAACAAGGCCTCGATGGAGGTTAAATTTATGTAGGAAGGTCCGAAGCATAAAGGAGCAACATTACTTATAAAACCCCAGATTGGCTGCTAGAGGAACACTCGATAAATACAGCGGTTCTGCATGTTTTGTATTGCTATGTGGTGTGTATAGGTGTCAGTGATGTATGTGGCACATATATGTACACTAATCATAAATTAATAATAATAATGTGAAGGATGCATCATCACTTGCTGTTATCGCCGGTAATTTTAATTACCTAAGTGTAGTTACAGGATGAGAGCTACGCTCGTGGTCACCCGTCTTCCCAGCACTCTTTGTCATATAACGCTTTGAAACTACAGCATTTGTACTAATAATGATGCAGTTCATTATTAATCACGATCATTAATATCATTAGTAGCAGCAGTAATTACCACCGTTGTTAGTGCGGTTGCAGTAATTGTTACCAGTGAGACTTAAGGGTGCACCGGTTTACAGTTACTGGAAATCAATGAGAGTTGAACGGCCCAGCCCGACGATAAAGCTTTTATAGAGGTCGTTCAACTCCAAGACCAAAGATCGAAGTATCGAGTGCATTGGTTCTATACGTAGCCAAGGGTCAAAAGATACAGGGAACGGAGTATTTGTTGCGGCTGAAAATGGATCAGCTAGACGAGTCCCCCCCGCGATCGGCACTGATGCTTTGTGACAACTGGAGTTTCCCAGTGATAGAAAATGAGAAGAGGTTATTACACCGACTACGGAATTGCCAGATTCTTGTAGGCCTATGTTCAAATAGGCCTCCTCAGGTTATCAGTGTAGTGAGAAGACCTACTTTATTTACCTAAATGATAACAGCAGCATAATGTATTTCAATTTTGTGCACAAACTATTTCGCTGCCCGAAACGCTTTGCGTAATAGTGGCTTTAGGCATTGTATGTACTAACTCTATCTATAAAGCCATCAAACTTTGTAAAATCTCTTTATGTATGTACCTTACCTAAATAAAAATTATTATCATTATTATTATTATTTTAAAAACGGTACACACATTTATGAATAATTTTTTGAATACGAATGTTTTTAATTTAATGATTATGGACAATGCAACAGTAGCGACAATAGAAGAAACTAAAATGTTTATTATGACAAAAGTGGACTACTCCAAGAAACAATTGGTCAGTTTAGTGCCATAAGTGCCAACTGAGTTGTGGCGGCTATGTGGGCCTGTGGGCCGCTCCAAGCAACAGCCTGTTGGACCAAACTCTCAAGCCAAGCCTGGTCCCAGGCCGGGCTTGGGTAACAGAACTCTCAGAATCCTCCTTCAGTTAAGATCTCTTATCAGAGGACAACAGAGTTACTACTGTTCTTGAGAGTAAGAACAAGTGGAGATTACATTCAGACAGAGATACAGTGCGCGCATGGAGGCTCCCATACAATGACTGTCTACACAAATCTCGCCTTATTTACCGACATTATGGTCACTTTCTCTTATTCAAAGCCTCACTGATTACAATTACTGGAACTTGAGTGTTGAAGTAAGGTTCTAAATAACAAAATATACAGATAATCTTACCGTTAATTAAAACAGATGTGATAGGGTTGTACACATGCGCAGACACTCCATACTACACACACATATTAACACATTTTACAAGATTCACTTTACGGGCTATTCCTGCCCGTGCCACCTTTTGGGGTGGCTTAATCTTTCTCAATCACTCGAGACTCACCTGCGGGGAGCGGACGTCCCAGTAGTGAAGATGAGCGATGTGTGGGAGTGGGGCGGCCAGGTGGGGATCCCGCAGGTATAGGCTGCGGGTCCCCCGGTGGTCGTGCTTGGCCAAGCGTTCGCTGCTCGCTGGGTCGCGTTCGCTGCTCGTCGGGTCGCGGCCGTCGTACGCCCACACCACCCGCACCGTATCCCCCTGGAACACCACCACCATTACGGCATCAAAGAACCTCCTTTATGCAGGCGATGAGTCACAATAACGTGGAAAAAGTAATTTGATCAGACCACACACTAGCAGGTGAAGGGACGACGACGTTTCGGTCCGTCCTGGACCATTCTCAAGTCGATTGTGAATGGTCCATTCACAATCGACTTGAGAATGGTCCAGGACGGACCGAAACGTCGTCGTCCTTTCATCTTCTAGTGTGTGGTCTGGTCGAATCTCCTTTAGTTTTGATAATTATGTACAACTGGTTTACTCCCATCACAAGAGCTTTGAATACTGTTTTTTTTGCGGGAAAAACATACAATTTCCGCCATGAAGGGTTATTAAATTGTACACAAATCATGATATTGAGCCATCGCTAATTTCCTCCAGAATGGCAATGGCAGCCATCTTGCAAAATGGCCGCCAAGCTATAGTGTTACATCATTGTGCATATCAATTAAGCAGCAGGTAGACTATGGTGTTAATTGAACACTTTAAGGATTAAGACCATTATTCGTCCTGGATAATTGGTCTTAAGCTCGTGCTATATGCGGTTTCATATAGAAACCGCATATAGCAATATGCGGAAACATTCATGTCATACATAGGCTACAAAATTGTTTAAAATTTGAATCGAATGACTTTACTGTCGATGTTCAACCATATCTCAATGCCAGTGCTGACAGCATGTTTTCCTCTCCATCTATCCATATCCCACCCCCCTCCAACCCCATAGATGATGGAAGTAGCAATATAATGTCTCAAGAATACGTGCCAAGCGTATTTTCATCGCGTCATTGCCGTGTATGAAGGCTATTTATCATGCAAATTGTCGGAATATTTATTGGCCTCATTTTATTCACATCGGTCAACCATCGACCTATTTAACCTTCATGTGAATTTATGATGGAGGGTTAACCGAGCCTGTGGTAGTCTATGATGTGTTGGGGAGTCACGTCAACCTTCCCTCAGGATAATACACCAGGGGCCAGATTCACGAAGCTGTTACGAAAGTGCTTACAAACGTGTACATTTTCCCCTCAATCTTTGACGGCTTTGGTTACATTTATTAAACAGTTTACAAGCATGAAAACTTGCCAATCAACTGTTGTTATAGTTATAAACAGCCTCCTGGTGCTTCGGAGCCCATTAACTGTTTAATAATTGTAAACAAAGCCGCCAAAGATTGAGAAATGATGTACAGGTTCGTAAGTGTTTGCGTAACTTCTTCGTGAATCTGGCCCCTGGTCAGCCTGACAAAGTGAAGATTCCGACGAGTCTATGTTTAAGATTTATGAACGCAAGAATTTCAGAGCCTCAGCCCATACTTGTTATCGTTATCGACTAACCTGCTTTATTAAGCCTTTTTAGAGGTCTGGGCCCCAGCCAGAACTTTCGTCGGGAGAGTCACAGGTCTGGTACACTGGACAGGCCTCAGAGCTTACCTTCGCCATCACCGTTCGTCTTCCAGAAGTACCTGGACATCCCAGAACAATCTAGTACTCTTCCAGAACAATCTAGTGCCCTCCCAGAACCATAAATACCCTTTCCAGAGCCGCCAGGAGTAATTTGTAACGCTATATACCATTCCTAAAGTTTATTTGTGCTTTCCAGCGCCCTAGTCTTGGAGGATTACGTACCTGGATGAGTTAGGATTTCCAGGCTTGGGAGGATTCTCCCTCCTCCCAAGCCTGCTCATGCTAACTCACCGGGAAGGTAACCCTCCAAGTCAGGGCTAGCAGGTAAGTGGGTGTTGAAGGATGGGCAGGCGGATGGTAGGGTTCAGACCGTCAGGCGGTGATATTCGAACTTATGTCGAAGGATTATGGCGCGCCTGTCGGTTTGTTGCCATTGCCATGTGGTGGATAGTTGGGTGGTAAGCATCGTCATGTGGGGATGGGGGTAGTTGAGTGGTTAGCCTAGCCATGTAGAGGCTAGCCAGGGTGCTGTCAGGGGAAAACCATACTGGACATTTAAGACTGACAGGTAGACGGTCTTACAGCCACTGTCAGAACCAGTTAGTTACTCTCTTAACTGTCAATCAACCATCACTACCAGGCAGGTTATCACTCCAACTATACATATACCGTTCACTAACCATCCACTCGCGTACCAGTGAACCGTAATTTGTCTAAGTAGATCGATGAACAGGAAATGATAATTGCTTTTGCATGATGTATGGACGTAGTTTGAGGGAAGGAAGGTCGTTCGTGGGAGGGGAAAAAGTAATTGAGAGAAGAGAGAGGGTTGGTTGTTAGAGGAGGGGGGGGGGGTGAGGAGGTAGTTCGTAGGAAGGGACTAATTTAAGGGCCAATTAGTCGATGGATTATTAAGAAGTACAGCGGGGCCTGGAGAGGGCCAAGAAACTACACTGGTTGCTGTTAAGCCTGGAAGGTGTGGCTCCATCTTAATGGCGTTCAAAGAAGTTCCTGCAAGACAATTCCAGCCCCGAGAGTCGTACACGAACCCTTCTCCACCACATGTAATTCTTGGGTAATATTTGATTTAACTTCAACCTACACAAAGACATCTAGGTGAGTACAGAAACATCCACGAGATTAGAAACTCTCTCCAGCATTTGTTTACCTTCATCGATCTCCGTGACAGAGTCGGTACGAACTCTCCCAGAGGCCATTGACCCATCAACCTGAGTTCGCTGCCTGAAAGCTACAGAACCTTTCCTCGCCGTGCGCGCGATTGACGAAATTGACGAGTGGAATTTCTTTTGTGACTAGAGTAGCCATTAAGTTCTCGCGGGCCACAATCATAAATTTTATGCTACCCTTTCTAATCCACTCCTCTCTCTCTCTCTCTCTCTTCCGTCCTCAGAATTCACCCGCCATAAATCTGTTGAGTTCTGCGTGTATCAATGTTTGACAGTTCGCGCGGACTGTTCATGTTTACTGCTTACCAAGTGCTCTGTGCCCGCCCACTTGAAGCACATTGTGCACTCCACTTTAAACAACCTGTAAGTGTTCCAGATTTAACTGTTCACTTTTTACCCTATTTCCCACGTGTTGACATATTTCTCATAACTCACGAGCGCATATAATATAAAATTCTTATATTATTCACGAGTGATGCGTAGCAGAACACGAAAATAATGTCAGAACTGTAATATTTATAAAGAAGGAAGAGGAGATGGAAGAGGCAGAATACGAGTACGATAAGGCGGAAGAGGAGGTAGATGACACAGAGGAACTGGAAGGTAAGCAAATAGAGATGGAAGAAAATGAGACAAATATAAAACCAATGAGGACTACAACATCCTATTCACACTTCTCCCAGACAGGGCGGGGCCCTGGAACACTTCTCCCAGACAGGGCGGGGCCCTGGAACACTTCTCCCAGACAGGGTGGGGCCCCGGAACACTTCTCCCAGACAGGGCGGGCCCTGGAACACTTCTCCCAGACAGGGCGGGCCCTGGAACACTTCTCCCAGACAGGGCGGGGCCCTGGAACACTTCTCCCAGACAGGGCGGGCCCCGGAACACTTCTCCCAGACAGGGCGGGCCCTGGAACACTTCTCCCAGACAGGGCGGGCCCTGGAACACTTCTCCCAGACAGGGCGGGGCCCTGGAACACTTCTCCCAGACAGGGCGGGCCCTGGAACACTTCTCCCAGACAGGGCGGGGCCCTGGAACACTTCTCCCAGACAGGGCGGGCCCCGGAACACTTCTCCCAGACAGGGTGGGCCCTGGAACACTTCTCCCAGACAGGGTGGGCCCTGGAACACTTCTCCCAGACAGGGTGGGCCCTGGAACACTTCTCCCAGACAGGGCGGGCCCTGGAACACTTCTCCCAGACAGGGCGGGACCCTGGAACACTTCTCCCAGACAGGGCGGGCCCTGGAACACTTCTCCCAGACAGGGCGGGCCCCGGAACACTTCTCCCAGACAGGGCGGGCCCAGGAACACTTCTCCCAGACAGGGCGGGGCCCTGGAACACTTCTCCCAGACAGGGCGGGCCCCGGAACACTTCTCCCAGACAGGGCGGGGCCCTGGAACACTTCTCCCAGACAGGGCGGGCCCTGGAACACTTCTCCCAGACAGGGCGGGCCCTGGAACACTTCTCCCAGACAGGGCGGGCCCCGGAACACTTCTCCCAGACAGGGCGGGGCCCTGGAACACTTCTCCCAGACAGGGCGGGCCCCGGAACACTTCTCCCAGACAGGGCGGGCCCCGGAACACTTCTCCCAGACAGGGCGGGCCCCGGAACACTTCTCCCAGACAGGGCGGGCCCCGGAACACTTCTCCCAGACAGGGCGGGGCCCCGGAACACTTCTCCCAGACAGGGCGGGCCCCGGAACACTTCTCCCAGACAGGGCGGGGCCCCGGAACACTTCTCCCAGACAGGGCGGGCCCCGGAACACTTCTCCCAGACAGGGCGGGCCCCGGAACACTTACGGTCAGCTGGAAGTCGTGGTGAGGGTCACAAGTGACCCAGGGCCGGGTGAAGCGGACCACTGTGTGTGTGTCGTTTTCGTAGCCTCCGACGACCCTGTAGTCCTGGGAGTCGTCGACGGACGGCGTCAGGAGGGCGAAGGCGTACCGATCCTGCAACAAGGAAGGATAAGAATGATAATTACGATAAATCAGATTTATGTGATAAGAAAGTTGGTTTATCAATACATATAATCCGTGAATTCAAATATTGTAATTGGCACAAGTTGTTACGAATTAGGTAGGCCTATCCAATTCCGATTACTTGTACGATTTGAATGCATCAGAATATGGTATTCCTAGTTTCCGTCTGTCTGTCATTCACACATACACACACTTCGGCCTTGTGAGAGTGTAGTGGGTTGGAGGGAGGAGAACACCCAATGAACATCTCCCACGACCAGGAGATGGTGTACACTACACCACGCCCATGACTGACCCGCCCACGGTAATCAACAAAATCTTTTAATATAGTTACCAATTCAAAACCGCCATGACTGAAGACCGGCCCAGGAACCCCACAACTCTCTCCGGGTCAAGTGAGCCAGACCTTGTAATAAAATGATATATGCAGGAGTGGGGCGGAGTGGGACGATACGTTACGGGCTATTCATGCCCGTGCCACCTCTTGGGTGGCTTAATCTTCATCAATCAATCGGGGCGAGATGATTATGTGCCCCAGAGAGCACTCAGCCATGCTGCTCTGAGGCAGCATAATGAGGAAGACCCGCTCACAAGACGGAACTGTGAGTCACCGCAAGTCTTATAGACCCTTCACCAGCCTGGCCTCTCAAGACTTTTCCAACGTCAAGAAACTGGCGTACTAAAGTGCCCTTATCCTAACCTACCAGAGGATACAAAACAGAAAACGGGATAGTATGTCAATTTCGCGAGCCGCTACTATTTTCTAGTACGACAATTTTTGGCCTTAGGTAGAGTGTACGTCAAAATGCGACGCTGTGGTCGGAGGACAGGGGCCAGATTCACGAAGCAGTTACGCAAGTACTTACGAACGTGTACATTTTTCCTCAATCTTTGACGGCTTTGGTTACATTTATTAAACAGTTTACAAGCATGAAAACTTGCCAATCAACTGTTGTTATTGTTATAAACAGCCTCCTGGTGCTTCGGAGCTCATTAATTGTTTAATAATTGTAAACAAAGCCGCCAAAGATTGAGAAAAGATGTACAGGTTCGTAAGTGCTTGTGTAGCTGCTCCGTGAATCTGACCCCAGAGTAGTTACGAGGAACTACTCAGCATGAACCACGGTTTGGGTGCAAGTGTTCCACGCAACGAGCATAAAGACCAACTGGCCAGATGTAACTATTAGCCATTGAACGGTCTAACTAGGATCTACTAACCATTATCATGTGAACGAACGTAACTGTAGGCCCCAGAGTGAGCATAATAAAAGGATAAAATCATACAGTACATATAGCCCAGTAGCGAGCGTAATGTACACACAAGGGGCCCAATACCGAGCGTAATGTACACACAGGGGCCCAGTACCGAGCGTAATGTACACACAGGGGCCCAGTACCGAGCGTAATGTACACACAGGGGCCCAGTACCGAGCGTAATGTACACACAGGGGCCCAGTACCGAGCGTAATGTACACACAGGGGGCCCAGTACCGAGCATAATGTACAGACAGGGGGGCCCAGTACCGAGCATAATGTACACACAGGGCCTAGTACCGAGCGTAATATACAGACAGGGGCCCAGTACCGAGCGTAATGTACACACAGGGGCCCAGTACCGAGCGTAGACCAGCTCACGCTAACAGCCTCATTACCTGGAAGATAAGAACACTAACATAACGTAATGACTGATGGACCAAGGTAATGACCCATCAAATATTAATTCCAACTTCCATTCTCCAGTTTCATGAAATTCCGCCGATTAATCTGGTAAGTAATTACAACCTCGCTAGTGTGTAATATTAATCATTAGGAGTAATTGGCCGTCCATCGGGGATTAATTGCGAAGTTATAATTACTCTACTTAACGGACAAGCGGCCTAGAGGTGTGGAGTATGGGAAGGGGGGAGTAATAGGGGAGGGAGGAGGAATGCGTAGGGGGGGAACAGACGACTCCGTTGCACCTTATCTTGAGGTTATCTTGAGATGATTTCGGGACTTTAGTGTCCCCGCGGCCCGGTCCTCGACCAGGCCTCCACCCCCAGGAAGCAGCCCGTGACAGCTGACTAACACCCAGGTACCTATTTTACTGCTAGGTAACAGGGGCATTCAGGGTGAAAGAAACTTTGCCCATTTGTTTCTGCCTCGTGCGGGAATCGAACCCGCGCCACAGAATTACGAGTCCTGCGCGCTATCCACCAGGCTACGAGGCCCCTACCAAGCCCCATACACACAGTCAATAGCTTCCCCTTAGGTCTCCTGAAGCCACTCGAAACTGCTAAGTTCCCCATTAAGAGCAGTTACCGGTTACAAGATTAGAAGGAGCTGTTAAGGCCAAGAAATTATAACTGTACTCAAATTAATTTATAATATTGACAATTCTTCCAACCTTGACTTTTATTAAAGGAGAAACACAGATTTTTCTGTACACAGCCACACAACACAGCCAAGAGCCTCAGACACCCACTATTAAAATTAAACCTCACTTCGTTGGAAGACAGAAGAGTTAAGGGGAACATGATCACCACATTCAAGATTCTCAAGGGAATCGACAGGGTAGATAAAGACAGGCTATTTAACACAAGGGGCACACGCACTAGGGGACACAGGTGGAAACTGAGTGCCCAAATGAGCCACAGAGATATTAGAAAGAACTTTTGTAGTGTCAGAGTGGTTGACAAATGGAATGCATTAGGAAGTAATGTTATGGAGACTGACTCCATACACAGTTTCAAGTGTAGATATGATAGAGCCCAATAGGCTCAGGAACCTGTACACCAGTTGATTGACGGTTGAGAGGCGGGACCAAAGAGCCAGAGCTCAACCCCCACAAGTACAACTAGGTGAGTACTACCTCAGAGCACGGGATGTTTACCTTTAGTGTAGCAACTGATCAGTATAATAAGCGACCAAACTAGTACAATAACCCAGCAGATTAGTATCGTAACCGACCAGACTAGCGCCATAAGAGATTAAATAACATTGCAACATAAATATATGAACTCGAACGCTGAACGAGGCGGAGATGAAACATAAACATGAGGCAATGATGATTATGTATGAGAGGAAGTAGATGACCAGGCAGTCTTCACCGCTGGGGACATTGTGACCACCATGTTGGTCACTGGCGGTCACTGGCGGTCACTGAGGGTCACTACCCATCTCGTCAAACGAACAGAACATGCCTCAACCACTTGCTGAAACCTGGCAATCACTCTCAAATATCTATATATATATATATAACTAGCTGCGGTATCCAGGCACAATTAAATGTCTTATTCCACTTTTTTCTGTTCCGTTTCCTCCCTTTCCTCCTTTTCCAGTTCTGCCTCCTGGTCCTCAGATCACGTGAGAGGAGCGCCTCCGCCCTCCCTTCACAGGCATAACGAGACCGCCAAATTAGTCTCGCTGCCGTGGGTGATGCCTCAGGTGTAAATCTCTGCGAGGCTGGAGCACCTTAACCACTCATCAGCTTCCACATCGCGTCGTCACAGCCTCCACTCTGCTGGGACCACCACAGGCTGGCTGGGACCACCACAGGCTGGCTGGGACCACCACAGGCTGGCTGGGACCACCACAGGCTGGCTGGGACCACCACAGGCTGGCTGGGACCACCACAGGCTGGCTGGGACCACCACAGGCTGGCTGGGACCATCACAGGCTGGCTGGGACCACCACAGGCTGGCTGGGACCACCACAGGCTGGCTGGGACCACCACAGGCTGGCTGGGACCACCACAGGCTGGCTGGGACCACCACAGGCTGGCTGGGACCACCACAGGCTGGCTGGGACCACCACAGGCTGGCTGGGACCACCACAGGCTGGCTGGGACCACCACAGGCTGGCTGGGACCACCACAGGCTGGCTGGGACCACCACAGGCTGGCTGGGACCACCACAGGCTGGCTGGGACCATCACAGGCTGGCTGGGACCATCACAGGCTGGCTGGGACCACCACAGGCTGGCTGGGACCACCACAGGCTGGCTGGGACCATCACAGGCTGGCTGGGACCACCACAGGCTGTCTGGGACCATCACAGGCTGGCTGGGACCACCACAGGCTGGCTGGGACCACCACAGGCTGGCTGGGACCACCACAGGCTGGCTGGGACCACCACAGGCTGGCTGGGACCATCACAGGCTGGCTGGGACCACACAGGCTGCCTGGGACCACCACAGGCTGGCTGGGACCACCACAAGCTGGCTGGGACCACCACAGGCTGGCTGGGACCACCACAGGCTGGCTGGGACCACCACAGGCTGGCTGGGACCACCACAGGCTGGCTGGGACCACCACAGGCTGGCTGGGACCACCACAGGCTGGCTGGGACCACCACAGGCTGGCTGGGACCACCACAGGCTGGCTGGGACCACCACAGGCTGGCTGGGACCATCACAGGCTGGCTGAGACCACTTCACACAATCTAACCTCGGTTCATTTAACGTTATTCGTTCAGTTGCAGAGACACCATTCATACTCTGTCAAGGTCAACAGTGATGTGGTTGTGAAGGCTGGGGGCCGAGGTTGCACAGGTGCCGAGATTGCACAGGTGCTGAGGTTGCACAGGTGGCGTGGTTGCACAGGTTGAGCAATGTGTGAATCCAGGGGCCACCTTTCTATCTCCAGGAGGCCATCTCCTGAGACGACTGTCAAGACAGTCATCTTCCTGGTGTCAGTGTAGTGATGCTAGTGTCGAGTCTGGTGTCTGTATCACCTGTCTTTGTTCACCCGCTCACACCAACGCCCTTAAGCCTTCCTGCGTCCCGTCACGGCGGTGACTTCGACTGGAGGCAGGGACCCGAGTGGAGGTGGGACGGGGAGGTAGGAGGAGGGTAGGAGGAGGGTAGGAGGAGGGTAGGAGGAGGGTAGGAGGGATAGAGCATGAAGCGGAACATCAGACACGCGCCACCACGAGCGCTCAGTTGTCGTGTGTCCGGGAGCTGCTGCTGCCAGCTGCTCGACAGGACAGTCG